CCATACAGAGGTAGATGGGGGACACAGTGGAGAGCACCATACAGAGGTAGATGGGGGACACAGTGGAGAGCACCATACAGAGGTAGATGGGGGACACAGTGGAGAGCACCATACAGAGGTAGATGGGGGACACAATGGAGAGCACCACACAGAGGTAGATGGGGGACACTATGGAGAGTACAACACAGAGGTAGATGGGGGACACAGTGGAGAGCACCATACAGAGGTAGATGGGGGACACAATGGAGAGCACCACACAGAGGTAGATGGGGGACACTTTGGAGAGTACAACACAGAGGTAGATGGGGGACACAGTGGAGAGCACCATACAGAGGTAGATGGGGGACACAGTGGAGAGCACCACACAGAGGTAGATGGGGGACACTATGGAGAGTACAACACAGAGGTAGATGGGGGACACTTTGGAGAGTACAACACAGAGGTAGATGGGAGACACTAAGGGGAGTATCACACGTCCAGCCTCTGATGACTAAACTGCCCGCCTCATTAGACCAGAAGTCAGACAAAGCCATCAGAACTAGGTCCCACAAAGAAGTGTCCCATTCAATGGCTCTGTCATGGGTCGGTGAGTTATCGTCCCGGGAATGGAACATCGTCGTCTGCGGCAGTCGGTCGCCAGATGGAGGCCGTGACGTCACTGTCTTCAAACAAAGAAGGACTTTCCCGACGTTAATCAACTGACAAAAAAAAAAAACCCAACAAAAACTGAGAAAGCAGTTTAGGATTGTGACCTTTAACCTTGAATCGTGCAAGTCTTTATGAGAGTATATCCGTGGCTACACGATGTGTCCATACATGACGTCACTAACGACACTGGACCTCACTGCATGCAGACAATGGAAGATGTCAAGAGCTCATTGTCTGGCGAGAGTCAGACACGATAAGCTCCGATGAACGGGAACACCACCGGTGTCGAGTTATTGGATTTGCTATTGTGTCGCTGTGTTTACAGTAACATGGTCGATCTAGAAGGAAAAACGAAAGTTTTGAGTTGCCTGGGGGGGCAGCTTGAATAACAGAGGGCCCATAATGCAAATACTTAGGTCGTTATATTAATTTGATGATAAACATTTTTTTTCAGTGTAGGCATATCCTCATACAACCCCCCCCTCCCATACCCCCACATGTTCCCGTTGCCCCCACCCCTTCACCTACTTGTGCCCATGCAACCAAACCCCCCACTACCCCGACCGCTAGCTCAACGTTAGATCCAATGAACTGTCTTCACCAACAGCAAGTGGACTGCTGTTAACAAACAATCAAACAACGCTGAACACAAACATTGAACGTTGGCTACAACCGATTGGATTTATTGAAATCAGTCTTGATCAGAGCCTAGCGCAAGTCGTTTGGGTTTGAGAGGAAGACCTTTGAAAGTGCAAGGGGGGGGGGGTGGGGGC